ATTATTGTCATTTACCGTATTCTTAAAACAAATAATCATCATTAACTATATTTTTAATACAAATATTTGTTATAAGTATATTCTCAATTCCAATATTTGTCATTTACAAAACTTTGAATATAAATAATTGTCATTTATTGTATTTTAAAGTTATAGCTAAATGGAATATATATATATACATATAGTAGTCGTACTTGTAATTACTTAATTAGTCTTTTCATTTGATCTTTTTTATCACCTACAGTTTTCTTTGCAATACAATAGCTTTTATAGACGCTTTGCATCTTGCTTCAATTTTGGAATCGCATTGTGCAACGGATGCATACCATTCTCCTTATTCCAAAAGTCGTTCTATTCGTTATCCAGGTAAGCTTCTAACTAAATGATATTTGTTATCACTTCCATAGGAATAACTATCTTCCAACTTTATTTGAGTTTTTATATACATGAGTTTATCGTCCTTAATCTATAATTATGCCTAATAAATCTTTACAATACAATTTATGTTGAATCATAAACCGTTAGGTGGTTGTGCTTCCATTTGGACCATTTTGGAAATTAAGTCCTAACTTCATGCATATACATAATATTTCCTATAAACTTACTTTCATTACTGTAAATATACTTATTGTAGCTTTTTTGTTCTTTTTTTGATCAGATATCAGTGAATCAATCTTTGCAAAATTTTGAGAAGGTAGTCATCAACAATTCGTCTTCCATGTTATCTTCAATCTATTTATGCATAAAACCACAAACATGATTGTCTTTCAAACCTCTACATTTTATATTTAAGTTCACACATTTTAAGACGACCTTTGCATTCTAGATTGTATGTACCATTATGCTATTAACACTTAATATTGCGATTCAAAAGGGTAGATGAAATGTTATATATTGATGATAGAAATATCGAGCAAGAGAAACACTCTTTATATTTACAATGGTTTGAATAACTTTTAACATGAACTGTTATTTAATTGTTACGTGAATATGTTAGTTTTTCATATATTTATACAAACTTTTATCGATTCCACCAATTTTTAACTCCAATACTCTATTTCAACCCTAACATAAAATGGAACTGTTTGACGCATTAATTCAAGATACTGTACGTTTACCGGAGTCACGAGAGCATGTTCACAACCTTCAAAAGTTGTTCACATGTATTTGTCGTCATCATAAAAAGCATAAGTGACAATTGGAAAAAGACCAACCGAGCTCTTCAAATGGAATGATGGGCAACAACTTACGATTTGTTAGAGACAGAATTAGAAAGCATGTACGACTGAATCGCAAGTTAATCCTCATCCATAACAAGTACAGGCATCGTGATTTGCACATAACTCTTCGGAGTCTTTCGCAAACTTTGAACTTTTTTTCAAATTCAACCGCCTACACCAACATCAAATATCTTGTTGAAAACCGAGGTAAACCACTTATTCAAGTCACAAATAATCTTTCAGTTATGCTAACATCATAATATAACACAATTTCAATTTTCACAACTTTATTTTTCATATAGGAAATGACCATAATACTGAGAGTTCTGCAAACACCCTAACTTGCTATGTTTTCCGTGCTACATCTTGATGGACTCCCACTTATGGATTTAGCTCCTTTTCGGCTTCTGAGATTTCGAGTTTCTGCTGCTTTTGTTACTTCTTTTTCAACAGGAGCATTCCTTAGAGCACCACCTCGTGTCCAATAGCGCCTGCACGTCTTGCAAAAGTGTCGAGGCTGTGTGAGGCTGTAGTTGTTGAAGTAGCAAAATTTGGTGTTGGTGGAATCACAACGAGGGCACTTTAATCCTGGCTCACGCAGGGGTGGGTTGGCTAGTCTGGCTTGATCCACCATAGATCCTAGTTGAATTGATCCTTCACCACCACCACCACCACCACCACCACCTCCATGTTGTGGAGGCGCCAGTGGTTGCCAAAAATTAAGGTTTTCACCTACGCCACCACTTTCTTGTTGATGGTTTGATTGTTGCAACTGAAATAGAACACAATAACACAAAGCTAATTAAAGGTACTTATACTAACATGGTATATTCAACAAAGAAGAGATGTAAAGAGGATATATATATATATATAATATATACACACACATACATACATATGTATCATCTTCTTTACATACATGTTCTCTCCTTTTAATGTTGATTGGATGAAGAATTAAGAAGAAAAGATAAAGAAGTTATACCAAAGGGGAGAAGCTTAAAGATCATACCTGTTGATGACAATCGTGGTGATCTTGAAAGGGTGTAACAGGTGAGAAAACCATGGTTTGAATTTGATTTTTTTTTTCTCTTTTAGAAAGTTTCAGGGGATTTACGGAAATACATGGGCAAGAATAAAAAAACTAGAGAAATTATATAAGAGAAGACTATGAAGAGGAGTAGGTGGCTTTTGAATTGCTTAATATTATTTGATTTCTTTTTAGTATTTTAAATAATTCCTTTTTTTTGGTATATATTATAATAATTAGGGTTCTTGGGAGTGGGTGGTGGAAGTTTCTTAGCCATGAAGCTTTCTCAGAAACACAGTGTGATACGACTGCATCTTAGTGCTCCGGTAAAAAAAAAAGAGAAAAAATACGATTGGTCCATGCATGTATACACATATGTATGTATATATGTGCATGCATGGATGATGACAAGCTAGAAAACGTGTGATTGTGATGTATTTGTATACATAAATATATGCATATGCAGGTTAACGCGTTTGTGAAATCCACGTTATGATAGTGGGATGGTGGGATCAATCTTTTAGAATTGTAGAGTTTTTAAATCGCTGCCTACTTCTGGTCAACAGCATCTAATCTCATCAAACTTGATTAATTAAAGACTTCATTGATTTTTATAAGTTAATTTTTTCTTAAAATCCTACGGTTGCTATCAATTGTCAAGATATCACACTTTTAATTAATTAAAGACTTCATATAGAACTCTGGCTAAAACCGTTCATTAGCATTCTCTCTACACGTCTTGTCTCTCTCACTCTCTTTTCTTTTTTCTTTTTTCTTTTTTCTTTTTGCTTTCTTTCTTTATTACAACACAAACCCTTTTTGTGGGTGGGTAAAAAACAAGAATATTTTTTTCACATAGATTTTTTTTTTTTGTATCATCAAGTCATTTGGTAAACTACAAGTCCTGTGATTGGACTCGTGAGTTCCAATGGGAATGTTAAATGTACGATTATAATGATCTTGACCTGACACATATGGTGAATATATGTTTTTTGAGAGAGTATAATTACAATAAAGAAAAATTAATACATACACAACTTATTAGTTAAAGCTCTCAAACCCACAATTCTCCATAGATCGACTTGGTTAACCGTGTATACAAATTAACTTAGTTAATTTGAAAGATCTCTTAATCTACAGTGAGAAACCGGGTGGCTTTGATTAGGGTTTTGTGAGCTGAATAGCTGCTAATTAATTATAGACAAGTTCACGACATGTTCTTGAGAGAATCTTGACATTAAACTCGAGTCAAGAAACTGTTGTGTTATTCCCGTATCAATTTGAGGGGGTCCAACAGGTTTTGCTTTATGGTATATGTGTGCCCATAAAAAGAGAGATATACCTTTTTATCCCTTGTCATTAGGGTGGAGAAAGTGAGGCAAAAACATAGAACGAGATAGAAAAACAAAGTTTTCGTTCACACTAAGAATGTTAACAAATTCCAGTATGGTCAAGGGCATTTTAAACTTTGTTTTATTTTCTATTAAAAAGTTAAAATTAAATATATTATATTTTAAATTTTGGATGGTTACTCTTAGGTTGGGTTGTAAGATAAATTCTTGAGAGAGCGAACGCATAAAGATGAAAAGATAGTGACAGTATACTACGTACAACAAAATTGTATATATATATATATATATATATATAACATCTGGAACAAGTTCATTCCAGTCTTTTTGGATGTCGTGACTTTCTCATCAGAGGTTTAAAGGGATAGTGATTCTAGGACTAGAGGGAAGTTCAAGAAGTATCCGCTCCTTAGGTCGCCAAACTACGACGAGAGTTTCGCCTTTTGAAGAAGGGTTGTGAGGTTGGCAAAAGGGGGATTATTCAGGGCAGGCTCTATGGATAACGGGGATGGAATAGCGGTTTCATGTTATAGTTGTAGCAAGATAAAGTGTTAAAACTGCACGTTATATATTATGTTAAAAGATTTACAAATTAAAACAACAAAATAACTTACAATGACAAAAGTAACTTACAAAATTCACTTAAATAGCTATAATTATTTTTCTAACATTGTTCGAAACAAAACCTTCGATCGATACTTCATAATGAACTTTTCCCAATAAGTTGTTAAATTGAAATATTAGTATATAAGAGTTTAACAACTATTGTTTGCCTTTAGTTTAAAAAAAAAAAAAAAAAAAAAAAAAAAAAAAAAAAACTCTAGCTCAAGTCTAGGGTCAAATTCTCCCTCAACTCATAACTTTTCTACATGGTATCAAAGGGCTATAATATTCTAAACAATAATTAACAAAGTAAAATAAAATTCCAAGTGAGGTTGCTCGTCAAACAAGAAAGAGAAGCATTAAATATTAAACAGGGTTGTGCTTCGTAAATTAGCCATGTGGAAAACAAAGATGAACGAGCATAACCGACTATGATCAGAGGTCAATGAAAGACCTAAGGACAAGGAATTGCATATTTGTTGTTCTAATCAGGAATCAATGAATCAAAAAATCTAGTAGAATAGGGATGGGATTGAGCTGGCATAAGGGCATTGAACAAAATTGTTAAAACATTATAATTGCCTAATGGGTTAAAATAAGAGGTAGAATGCAATATGGATTAAGATAACAGTTAAATGTTCAAAATGAGCTCAATACTGAATATTTTTTAATTAATACTATTATTAAGAGTAAATTACAAATTTGGTTCCTGTGGTTCTAATATTTTTTTTGGCTTTGGTCGTTAGAATTTGTTTATTCCAAGATAGCCCTAGAGTTTGCATTTCCGTAACACATTGGTCCATACCACTAACAGCTGTTAACTCCCATTCATTAAGTGAGGACAATTCTTTTACAAACTATATATATATATATATATATATATATATAGACGAATAACTGTGTGAGAATACAAGTTAAACGTAAAAGCTTAGGAAGGTTTTGGACCCATGATCACAAACCAACCCATGAATTGCACTTTAGAAGTAAATTGATTTGATGCTTCTTATTAGTGTTGATCTGGTGGAACTCTTCAATCAGGATAAATCCAAGGGTGGAGATCCCTTCTTACCCTTCTCACCGCAACTCTCATTCTCACCAGAACCCACCCTATATATATATATATATGTGTGTAAATATGAAACTCTTCCCGCAACCTTGCCCTTATTGCCCTCAACCCCAATTGAAGAACCAATACTCTCAACCAAGAACTTCTATATGTAACACCAACCGCGGAGCAGAAGCATGCATTACACATGTCATCAGCTAGCGGACACAAGCAGAGTGGGATCGGTAGGTTTGAGAAAGGGAGTTAATAGATGAAATGGTCTTGAGACAGATAGTTGACTTACACGCCCCTATTCGATAGTTAACTAGCTATCTTCCTATAAGCAAAACATCGTGTGAGAAAGAGAGTTAAGGTGAAAAACGTGAGAAAGTAGCTAGATTATTGATCACCTTTTATCTCAAATACACCCATGAATCGTGTTTGATACGAGGATCGATCAGGTGCATCTCGGTGCATCTCATCATAATGTGTATCCAAGGATGGAGATCCCTTCTTATGTTTTTCACCTTAACTCTCATTCTCATCGAAATCTAACCTTATATATATATAGAGGAAGGTTCAGGGAAAAACCACAAAAATATGAAAAACTAGGTAACACTCTGGTAATTGTTCATATACATAGTATGCACATATGAATACAAGTAAGTGAAATTATTTTTTTGATTTCTATGCATGTGTACATGTAATGCACATCTGCATGCCGAACAAATTGCTTACGAATTACTTATATACACATATGTATATCGTCCAAATAAAATGTTATCTGGATGTTACTCAAATTTTTTATTTTTTTTCATTTTTTTACAGTTGTCTCCTAAATCTAGCCTTATATATCACATCGTATAGATGCTCTTCCCCTAAAATTTGTTCCTTTTTCAAATAAATAAATAATTAATGCATCATATTCTATCTCACAAATAATTAGTTGGATTAAATGATATTTACTTTCATTAATTGGTTTAATTTAAATATATTTTTAACGACTTATAATCCATTTTCACCTTGTTATCTTACTAATTTTTTATTTGACCAGTTTGACTGATTAACATAAAATAGATTTTATATGGATTTATTTGCTAAATAAATTAATAAAAAATATCTCCCTAAATTTGATTTTTCACATGGGCCAAATCTTTCTATTCTTACTGGATTGAAATGTTGGGCCAAATTGGTGACATCCATGACCATCATAATGTGACTAATTACTTAACCTTTTAATTTTTTAAAATTAAAATTAGTATTTAAAAATATCAAAAATATTTTGACCTGGAAGGGTAAAATTGGAATCGAAATGATAACATTCAAATAAAACGATCACGATTACTCCCATGGGGGGAGTAATAACATCGCCGACGGTGGGGTATCCAATGATTAGGGCTCGATTATTATTTATCATCGATTACAGTTATATCACATATTTATCACATCACATTTGATATCGCATTAGAGTAATCAAACAAGCTGTTGTATTAAAGTGTATCACATATTTATCAGCGCATAGTCAATATCACAATAAAGTAATTAAGCAGGGGTTGTATTCAATACTCTATCACACAAATATCACTACGCTATCATAATGAACATGGTTGTTTTCAACACTTTATTACACAACTATCACAATAATATCACAATAGAATAATCAAACATGATTGTATTAAAATATATCAAATATTTATCACAACATAATTGATATTACAATAGAGTATCCGAACAAATGTTGTATTAAATACTCTATCACACAAATATCACAACGATATTACAATAGCTTCCTTATCAAAACCATTGGAGCCTTCCATTCTTGGTTGAAAAAATGAAGCATTTGACAAAAAAAAAACTCTTAAAAACGATTTTTTATGCACGAAGTACTGTTTATTGATACATATTACTTAAAATTTAAGATTACAAGTAAACAATGCATAAGTACAACTTATTAAAGCTCCATACTTGAATTCGTGTAACTAACTAGAGATAAATATAATCAAATATTGAATAAACATATAATTTTAAATATAAAAAATCTAAAATATAATTAGGATAAGGGAAAATTGCATCAAAATTGAATCAACTTTCACTTAATTCTTATTTTGGGGAACCAACTTTCAAAATCGTCATTTTGGGGAACCAACTTGGACCTGATTCCTATTTTGGGGAACCAACTTTCAAAATCGTCATTTTGGGGAACCAACTTGCATCTGATTCCATTTTGGGGAACCAACTTGCAAAATAATTATAGAAAAATAATTAAAATTCGTTTTTTTCCAAAAATTAATGCAATAAAATCAATTTTTCATTTCAAATCTCGTTTTTTTAATTCAGATATCAAATCGAACATTTTAAAAAAAATCCAAATTATCACAATAAAAATTGTTTTTTACTAATGCAAAAAAAATCAATTTAATAGAAAAAAATTAGTTGATGCAATAAAAAATAAATATTAAATATCACATTCAAGATTTTTATATCTAACCAATTCGTATCAATTAATTTTTTTCTATTAAATTGATTTTTTTTTGCATTAGTAAAAAACAATTTTTATTGTGGTAATTTGAATTTTTTTATAAAAATGTTCAATTTGATATATTAATTAAAAAAAACGATATTTGAAATGAAAAAAATGATTTTATTGCATTAATTTTTAGAAAAAAACAAATTTTAGTTATTTTTCTATAATTATTTTGCAAGTTGGTTCCCCAAAATAATGATTTTGAAAGTTGGTTTCCCAAAATAGGAATGAGGTGCAAGTTAGTTCTCAAAAATGACGATTTTGAAAGTTGGTTCTCCAAAATAGAAATTAAATGAAAGTTAATTTTATTTTGGTGCAATTTTCCCTTAGGATAATCATTGATAACTAACATAATATGTAGTTATTATCTTTATAAAAATTATATTATTAAACCTAAATTAAATTTCTTTGTTACTAAACCTAAATTAAATTATAACTAAAAAATTAATTAAGGAAATTACAACAAAACACAAAAACTTTTAAAAATATTAGTTTAATAATGATATCGATATTCTTTTTTTCAAAATTTTATGATATTTTTAAATTTATATTTTATTAAAAAAACATTATCACTTTCTCAAAACCACATAAAACCGATGTTTACTTAAAATTCAAAATTACAAGTAAATTATGCCAAAATATAACTTATTAAAGCTTGATGTTTAAATTCGTATAACTAATTGCGGATAAACATAATCAAATAGAGGATAAACATCTTATTTTAAAATATAAAAAATATAAAATATAATTAGAATAATTATCGAGTTCTAACAAAATAATTAATTATTATATTTATAAAAAAATTATATTATTAAATCAAATATAAATGATTCGTTATTGTATCTAAATTAAATTAAAAAATTATACAAAAAATAAGAATTTTAAATAGTTAATTTAATACTAATATCGATATATTTTTGTCAATTTTATGATATATCTTCAAACTTATATTTTATTTAAAAATAAAAACATCATCGTTTTTCTTAAAATTATATAAAATTATATTATAACATTAATTAAAATAAAAAAATAAAATAAAATATTAAAATCAATATATCGTTATATTAAGCGAATATCTTTCTCAAATTGAAATAAGAAAAAGAATTTGCGGCCCAAAATAAGGCTTTTCCGGAGAAAATATCGGCGGGAAATATGAAGAGTTCGTACACCAAATTTAACATGCATCTCCCCAATCAACCGCAGCCGTCGATTTGACCTTAAATTTAATCTGGACGCTTCACGAACATTCTAGAACGCCACAACCCATCTCTCAAAAACCATACATATACCATTCCTCCTCACGCCTTCTCCCTCATTCATTCTCTCTCAAATCCTAAAACCACTCAGTGTCACCTAAACAGACAAGAGGTACAAGATAATGGCTGGCAAAGGTGAAGGTCCGGCTATCGGAATTGATCTGGGAACAACATATTCGTGCGTTGGTGTTTGGCAACATGATCGTGTCGAGATCATTGCCAATGATCAAGGTAACAGGACGACGCCGTCTTACGTTGCTTTCACCGATTCCGAGAGGTTGATCGGTGATGCCGCCAAGAATCAGGTTGCAATGAACCCTACCAACACTGTTTTTGGTGAGTTTTGCTCCGACGAATTTAGATCCTAACTTTTTGCTGCTTATTTACTTCTGGATATGGGGTTTTCGTTTCTTATCCATTACTTTTTAAGATTTATCTATGTATCATTATAACTCCTAGTCTGTTTATGCTATATTAGTCTGTCATTCATCTTTTGGGGAGCTCTATTTTCGAGTTTATATCTTTCTCTTTTCAAATCGTATTATTTTGAAATCTGAGATGTTAGAAGTAAATCAGTTTTTTATCTTCTAATATTGAGTATCGTTGTCTTTGAATGCAACTCATTGTTTAGGTTATTTGGTAAAATTTCATAGATATTCCGATTTAGGATCTATTAGTTTCTGTATGAAAAGTTCATAGCTATTCTGTGTGAGGGTCTCTGCATAGGGTTTGTTCATCGATATTTCACTATTCGGGTAGGCTGAATGCACTGAAAGTGAATATTTGTTCGAGTGGTAAACAAGAAGCAGTGTTCCTCCAGTATGTCTTGTATTATATAAGATGGATCATTAAAATTTGAAATTTATCGTGCATGTTCTAACATTGAATTTTAAAATGTGAAGATTCATAAAGCCTCTTCCAACATTGAATTGTAAGATTCAAGATTTGGCAGATTCTAGAATGTTTAAATGTATTTGGTTTGCTCCATCTTTATGTGTTCTTGTATTAGATCATTGGTTTGTTTCATATGATTCAAGCTTTTATGCTCACTTATTTTCTCTTAAAACAGATGCAAAACGTCTGATTGGTAGGAGATTTAGCGATTCTTCTGTGCAAAGCGACATAAAGTTGTGGCCTTTCAAGGTCACGTCTGGTCCAGCAGAGAAACCCATGATTGCTGTTAATTACAAAGGTGAGGAGAAGCAATTTGCTGCAGAGGAGATCTCCTCCATGGTGCTTATTAAAATGAAGGAAATTGCAGAAGCTTTTCTTGGATCAACAGTGAAAAATGCTGTTGTCACAGTTCCTGCCTATTTCAATGACTCCCAGCGCCAGGCTACAAAGGATGCTGGTGTGATCTCTGGCCTAAATGTCATGCGTATTATTAACGAGCCAACTGCTGCTGCAATTGCTTATGGTCTTGACAAGAAGGCTAGTAGTGTTGGTGAGAAGAATGTGCTTATCTTTGACCTTGGTGGTGGTACTTTTGATGTGTCTCTTTTGACTATAGAAGAAGGTATCTTTGAGGTGAAATCAACGGCTGGTGACACTCACCTTGGTGGAGAGGATTTCGATAACAGAATGGTGAACCATTTTGTGCAGGAATTCAAGAGGAAGAATAAGAAGGATATTACCGGCAATCCAAGAGCACTCAGGAGGTTGAGAACCTCTTGCGAGAGGGCAAAGAGAACTTTATCGTCCACAGCTCAAACCACCATTGAGATTGACTCTTTGTATGAGGGTATTGATTTCTACTCCACCATTACTCGTGCTAGATTTGAGGAGCTGAATATGGATCTGTTCAGGAAGTGTATGGAGCCCGTTGAGAAATGCTTGAGGGACGCGAAGATGGACAAAAGCTCGGTCCATGATGTTGTTCTTGTGGGTGGATCCACCAGGATCCCGAAAGTCCAGCAGTTACTTCAAGATTTTTTCAACGGGAAGGAGCTCTGCAAGAGTATAAATCCTGATGAGGCCGTTGCTTATGGTGCTGCAGTCCAAGCTGCAATTTTGAGTGGCGAAGGAAATGAAAAGGTTCAAGATTTGCTTCTTTTGGATGTCACCCCACTCTCTCTCGGACTTGAAACTGCTGGAGGTGTCATGACTGTTCTTATTCCAAGAAACACGACCATCCCAACAAAGAAGGAACAAGTATTCTCGACATATTCAGACAACCAACCTGGCGTTTTGATTCAGGTTTATGAAGGCGAGAGAACAAGAACCAGAGACAACAATTTGTTGGGGAAGTTTGAACTCTCGGGCATTCCTCCAGCACCTAGAGGGGTCCCACAAATTACGGTCTGTTTCGACATTGATGCCAATGGGATCCTAAACGTGTCTGCAGAAGACAAAACCACAGGGCAGAAGAACAAGATCACGATCACCAACGACAAGGGACGGCTTTCGAAGGAGGAAATTGAAAAGATGGTTCAAGAGGCAGAGAAGTACAAGGCAGAGGATGAGGAACATAAAAAGAAGGTGGAGGCTAAGAATGCCTTGGAGAACTACGCTTATAACATGAAAAACACCATTAGGGATGAGAAGATTGGGGAGAAGCTGAACCCAGCAGACAAAAAGAAGATTGAAGATGCAATTGATGAAACGATGACATGGCTGGATGGCAACCAGCTTGGTGAAGCAGATGAGTTTGAAGATAAAATGAAAGAACTGGAGAATGTGTGCAATCCGATCATTGCGAAGATGTATCAGCCTGGTGGTCGTGGAGCCATGAATGTGGATGATTTTCCTCCTGCTGCTGCTGGCGCTGCCCCTAAGATTGAGGAGGTAGATTAAGTTCGTCATTGATTGCTATCGTTTGTTCAGATTTTTTTAGGAAACATTTTGTTTGATTTTGATTATATGGGAGGTTTTGGCGTATTTATTAGTAGATCGATGCCTTGGGGCGAAGAAACACTTTGTTTGGGCGGTATGCCCCTATTTTGAAATTGTTTGTTTGAAGAATATTGGTGAAGATTACCAAAATGACTTTTGGTCTTGCAGTATCGTAGTCTTTGACTTCCTAGGAGGTTAGGGGTTTAAATCACACTAAAGGTGATGAGGGGTATGAATTTATTTGTTGTATTTACCGTATATAAATATCATATACTTCAAAAATAACAATGGCGAAGATTGCGAATAAATCAATACGGAAAAATGATAGGAGTTGCACATATATAAATGTATCATACATGGCTTGACCTAAAATAGTTGGAACTTCTACATTCAACAGAGGATAAAAATAACGATTGAATGAATCACGTAAGATGGTTTGAGCCATATGCCTATTGGCAACTGGGGATCATAAGATGGTTAGTTTTGCAAGGATTTGGTCGTGTCCATTGTGATAAGGTGAAGATGAAAGGCATGAACTTGAAAAGAAGCAAAATATCTAGTCGATTATTTATTAGCCGATTTAAATAATGGGTTGGATAAAAAAAAAAGCAAAGAAAAAGAATCATGATTCGTTCAAGGATGACATATAGTCATATAACATTATTTTTTTATGGGCGTTAGAGCATTTCCAACATATTCTGTATAATATCTTTAAATAAGAGAACCAAAAGTCTAAAAATTTAAAATAAATTACATTCAGTTCAAACATATTCTCTATTTTAGAGTTTTCATCATTAATTATAATATTATATTATTTAGATATTTTATAATTTTATGATTCTCATACATTTAAATTACCCTTATATAAAATAATATTAACTCAAGATTATTTTGACTGAATTAATAAAAAACTCATTCTTGTCTTCTAGCGAAAATTTTAGAGAATTGTTTATGTTTGGAGTTTTCTTTATGTTTCTTTCTAGTTGTGTATTCGTGTAATACGGCGGGAGCCATGAATTTTAATAATTTTGAAGTTCCACTGGTTTATTAGAGAAGATTTAATGATCATATAAATTATACTTGGTCTTTACATATTAATATAATTTGAATAAATAAGAGTTTTGGTTTCAATTACAGTCTATCGATGAAGAAAATTGTATAACAGTTTAAAATCCAACATATTTAAACGACTCCACAAATGTGTTCGATTTACACCAAGAGCAAAGAATCAAGAGATCGAGAGCGAGATCGAGAGTTTTCTAGAGCAATTGAATGGGAGAACTTTTAATAACTCATGGTGAATATTATTTTGAATCTCACCTTGGGGGATGATGAGAAGACATAGAGATATGAGAGGATGAAGACATGAGTAAAATGTGTCAAAAGTATCTTGCGAACATGAAAAGACAATGTAATAATGTGCGTTGGTAACTTGTACTATATGTTATTTTAGCTGTAGATTAAGAGATTTTAAGACTGAATGCATAAAGTAGTAGTACTTAATGCATTATTAGTTGTTTTTATGACTTTTAAGACTTTGTGCATAAATGTATAATACCTTGTGTATTAAAAATTGTTTTTAAGACTTTTGATAAATCTTGATTATAAAGTAGTATAGATATAGATATAGAGACAAGTTGGAGAATATGTCGGAGTCGTATAGAAAACAAAAAACCCATTTTCTCTATTTTAAAGAATTTGTTGGAGATGTTTTGACATCATTTTGTGCATGTTGGGGAATTGGGTCTCCAAAGAAACCATGTAAACACTTGATAAAAACTTGAAATCGCATGAGATCAAACTTTTCCTTAAATGATATTTTGAACCAAATTTGGCAGGGTATCACTAAATTTACTAGAAGTTAATCCCAAATTAACCATCCCGGTTTTGACATAAATCTTAACTTAATAATGTAGAAAGATTGTAACCGTACATTGAAGCCAATAAATGAATACCCCATTCGAAATTTTTTTCCTGAAAATTTAGTTAGACAGTTAGGAATTAAAAGAATAATGATAGCTTACCTGAGTGTCAGGTACAGTTTGTCTGTATTCCGATTAATTCAAGGGATTTTGGAGAACAATCAAAAAAAATTCTAATATTTTTACAGGATTTAAACTGGTGATCTCTAAAAAAAAATCCTTAAAAACCCAAATCTTATTGTCAACTGAGATAACCATAGAATCCAAGGAACAAGAGCATGTGCTAAGCATCATTTAAATGAGAGGTGATTATCAAAAACCCACTACATATGTTTTAAAGTTTTAATTAATTAATTCAAAGTTTGAAACTTTTAGACATGATAAATCAGGGTGCACTTTCCCACCAAATTACGTGTAAAGGTTTTTATGTATATAACCTTTTCTTATTATCGATATTTTTGTTTTTATATATGTTTAATTGTACGTATGATTGTTGATCGGTAAAAATTAAAAGATCAAGAAAATATCTGGATTCTGGACTCTAGCATCGTTTATCGATTCGTAATGGTTAGGAGGATGGTGCATATTAAACAACTTATTGAGTCACGTTGGTTGAGTTTTAGGAGGATGTAGTGGAAAATCTTATTTACTTTGGATTCGAATCCAGGCTCTGTCAAATCCATTGTGGCTATGGAGATTCACCTGCAATGACTACAAGCTATTTATGGTTGCCTGGAGGATTAGTCGGTGCATCTAAACTGATTTGAAAATCCACGGTTACCGACGTTCCAAATAAAGATCAAACTTTGGTCTTCATACAAAGTGTGTTAGATACTTGATGATCTGCCAGCAGTTCGTGGGTTAATTAACATACACACAATATATATATATATATATATATATAGAGAGAGAGAGAGAGAGAGAGAGAGAGAGGTGGATTATTATGCAACTCTTTACATTTGTACAATCAATACAACTCAATCTCAACCGTCCATTTAATTTGATGGATATGTGATTTCATAAAAGTTTTGATTGTTTCATAATATAAAGTATTGATCATAATTAATGAACTCTAGTCATCTTTTATAAATATTTAAATCATAATAAATGACCTTTCATTATTTCCATAAATATCTCAATTGATTGGGTTGCATTGGTTGTACGAATGGACATGGTTGCATTTGAAATATACCCTATATATATTTCAAATACAACGTATCTTATTTGTACAACCTTGTTCTAAACCGTCTATTTTATTTTATTTCGGTTTTTTTTAATTGATAATCTATAACTAGCTTTTCCACCTCATTAAATGTTGATTGTAGATGAACTAATTAGTGGTAATGATGAAGTTGCGTTGGTTGTACAAATAGAATATGTTGTAAAGTAAACCACATCTCTCTATATATATACTAGAAGGGTACAATGCAGCGATATATCTAGATTTTAATGTTTCGTTTTATTTTTTGTCTCGATACTATAAGACGACTTTATGTGGTTTTGAGCAAACAATAATGTGTTTTTAATAAAATATAAATTTAAAGATATTGTAAGATTTAAAAAACAATATAAAAGTTTCATTTTTTTTGTGTAATTTCTTTACTTTAATTTTTTATTATAATTTAATTTAGATTTAATAATGAACTAATTTATTTTTGGTTTAATAACACAATTTTTTATAAAGATATAATTAAGTATTTTGTTATAACTCAATAATCATCTTAATTATATTTTAGATCTTTTAATATTCAAAATGAAAAAAATTATCATGTATTTGATTATATTTATCTACAATTAATTACACTAATTCAAACATGAAGTTTAATAAGTTGTACTTACGTACAATTACTTGTAATCTTAAATTTTAAGTAATACACATCAATACACAATACCTTATGTATAAAGATGGTTTTTAAGAGTTTTTATCAAATGATTTACAATATAATATAAATTATTAGATGCTAGTTTTTTATTCTCTTTGGAAAAAAGTGTCATTCTTGTTAGTGTTACATTCAATTTTAAGGTATGTAACAAGTAACTACAAGAGTCGATTATTACTTGTTTTTCTTTCGTTACATTTGAGTTCATATATGATTTAATAGTAACGTTTACTTATTAATTAAACATTTATAATACAGTTAATAAAATAAAACAAAAGAAACAGTTAAATCGAATTATACTGATGGGTTCAAGAATACAAGATGCTTGTGTTATAAGTTATCAATCCAAAACAGAAAGATGGATATAAATTGAAAGAATTTGTAGGATAAACAAATGATTCTTGTTCAAAAAACGTAAACTGGTAATACAAATCTATGTAATTAACATAATTAACATCTACAAGGATAGAATCAAGAAAAAATTACTCGATATTGCAAATTCTTCGTGATTTGATCCCGATTGAGGCCTGCACAATCCTAGTGTCCTAAGATAAAAATTCGCCGGTATACTTAGTGTTCGCCTAGAGGATACAACAATCGAATTCAGGTTTGCACTTGAATCTGGCGAAATTAATCATTGTTTGGTGCTAGATGTTGTATGAAAGATAGAGAGAAACCAGAGCAACACATGCGAGGAGATAGATTCGGGTCAGGTTATACCAGATCGAGAGACCCCATCAAATACCACACACCAAGGCCCCAAGCTTTTAATTAATTCATTTAATGCTCAAGGGTTGGTGTATGTATATTAAGTGGATGAGGTTTCCTTGACTCTCCTATGTGGAACAAGGTTTCTCACTGTTAAGCCAAGTTCCAACACTTGTCTTATTACCATATTACCATGGTGCTTTCATCAATAATCAAGCATGATGAGATTATAAAAATCATTAAAATGATTTGCAGTTACAAATTCAAATTTAAGAAGGAATAAAAATCATTTGTGACTACGGAGGTTCAAATACAGTTACTTCAAACTACCCACAAAACAAGTGGTCGCTCTAAAATTAGTCAACTCGTATAACAGATTAAATATCCAGGTTAAGTAAAAAAAATCATTAAAACGAAATCTAAAATAAGTGAGAATATTTCATATTTGTTACGTGGCCATGGCTCATGGACGTGCAAAAGGGTTTCCCCACACAAAAAAGTTAGTAATCATTTTGTAAAATCATTGATGTTTATGTTTGGTACTTATCGTGAGATTCAAAAACAATTTGTAATTATTTAAAACTTCAAATAATTAAAGTTGATAATAGAATAAAACAATTAATCTTCCAATCAAATTCATTTTTTAACCACTTTTAAAATAAAATCCTTATTTTAACATGAGTTTACGCAAAATGTTTTACATATTTACGTAAGAACTATTTTCAGATTAATAAAAAGAATTTTTTTTTTTACATAAATGTGATTTTTTTAAATATGAAATTCAAATAAGTAAGATATTTATATAAACCCCGACTAAAATGAGAATTGGATTGGAAATATTGACTATTTCAGTCAATTTCCCATTACAGTTTAAAACTTTCGACATTGTATTTGTTGTTTGTAATTGAAGAATTATTCATCTAAAAGTGTTATATTTAACGAAGAAAGATATATATAAGAATAGTCTGTATTTAATTACTAAAGGGCCGTTTACCTAAGCACTCATCCGGTAAGCGCTTAACGGTAAGTTTCAGCTCTATCTTTTACTTATCGGGTAAGATTTTAGTCTACCAAACGACATCGTATGTAATAATTTACCCGGTAAGCGCTAACTGTGGTATGAGTCGTCGCCATCACTTACCGGGTAAGACTCTCGGTTCGTGACTTCGCTCTTACCAAACAAGATTTTTGGTCCTTGCCATATTCATTCGGTAAGGGAATATGACTTGATAAACGCTTACCCGAGTAAGCATTTGGTAAACGGCCCCTAAATTTATTTTAGTTCACAATGATTTGCAATTATAGACTTAATTCACCCATTGGAAAGGAGATAGTTTAACTGAAGTCAAACAAATGATAAGTTAATGATCCTAATAAAACCCTAACTTGAATGTTCTTCAAGGGCGTTGGTTTGACGAAATAATTTTGAGGGATTTGGATTTCGTGAAAGGATTTAGGAGGGAATTGGAACGATTTGAAATCGTTGGTGTAGGATTTGTAATAGAATTGAATTCCATTAATTGTAAAAAATAAATTATAAATAATTAAATTACTTTTTTATTAATCGATTATTACAAAACAAATGTTTTTAGTGTATTTTAGAACATTATCATACACAAATCCTACGAAATCCCATGAAATACCAACAATTCATGGGATTTCAAATGTTAGATCGCGACCGCAACCAAACTCCTCAAAAGTTTCTGCCTCAAAAAAGCATATCATTGGCAACCACACAATCGCGAGTTACCATCTAAACTTGACCACCCAATAAATCATAGGATATTGAGGCACCGTTTAACAATAAGAAACTATATAATTTTAAGCTAGATTGCAAAAATCAAGCACTTTCAAACTGTACATTTTTGTATATATGTATCATTGATGATACAAAATTGCTAGTCACAAACGTGAAGACCATTAACAAGAAACAAAGCTTGAACAAAACCATAACAGGTGGAAATGCTTCGGCAAAAGAAACGAATACCCTTTCTTTAGCTGTTAACTTAAACCACGACAAAGAAAGTGAAACCGTGGTCCACACAACAATGACCAGATAACAACCAACTCTAGGTGTAGCTGTGCAAGCATGATATCAATGATGATGGATAGACAAAGATTAGGTTAAGAACCTGTTAATTTTTATAAAGAATATGATCAGACGATGACAGATACAACTACTGAATATAAGAAAATAAAACTTAAGGTTTAAATAACAATTCAGTATATTTGAAGGGAGTAGATTGCTCATTTTCAAAGTAAAAGTTGAATGTTGTGAATTGTGATAGGTTAATCTTTCATCAATTAAATATTGCAACTTGCTTTCAATGAAGTCGGTGCATGCTTAACAAAAAAAACTAGTCACGACATTAAAATTTTAACCTAAAATAGTAAAATACAATACAATTAGTACTTTAACTTGATTTTTATTTTAGATAATATATTTTAAAATTTTTATTTTGATATTTAAGATATAAAATTTTAAACATTTAAATAATCGGGTTACCGGTTAAATCATTAACTCTTTTTTCAAATAAACCACAATATATAAAAACTAATTTTAGATTAAGATATTTATTTCAGTAAATAATACTGAATTGGATACTATATTAATCACAATTTGCATGGTAACTGGTTAATACTTCAACCGGTTACCCGGATGCTTAAATGTTTAAAACTTTACATCTTAGATACCAAAATGGAAGTTTTGAAAGTATGTTACTCAAAATAGAAATCAAATTAACGTACATTACTTTTTCATGTAATTTGTCTTTTGAAGATTGTATATTTTGATATTTAATGTAATGATGATTTCTCCTTCAATTAGTGTAATTCCTCCAATTTCTTGACAAATACAGTTCTTAGCAAATATTTAATTTCTTAATATCTTTTTAATTCTTTTGATTTCTTACCAATTTTGACCAAGTAAATCTCGTAACTACGACGCCATCGATAACATAATTGTTTAGTTATATTATAAAGTTTTAGTATGTGGGAAAAATATCGTATCAAAATCAAACGATATTATTTAAATTAAAAAATCATTTTTTTATTAATCTGGATATACAACCTGCTATGCAAGCTGACTAATCTCAAAACTTGGAGTTACATTAAAAAATTCATTGATAGAAACAGGAGAAAAGCGTCTATTGTCTATATATCATTGCACAAATTCTATTAAACCCTTTTGTAATTAAAAAGATAAATTAATTAAAAAATAGAAAATTAAAAAAAAGAAGCCACTCTACCATTTCTCATCAACTGGAGCCATTGTTGTTGATGGAGAACAAGCCAAAGGAAGAACCTTTGAATGTGTTTGATGGCCTCCTTCACTGACAACCAGTTTCACAAAACCACCATCTTTCTCCTCTGTTTTTCTTGGAGAATCTTGATCCATTTTCTTGAAGCTTTCCCTTTTCTCACCCTCTGTTTGCATCAATCTTTTCAGAAGCTTCTCCTCTGCATCTCTCAAGAACTTGAAAGTGGGTGGTGGGGAAGATCCCATCTTGTTGATGGTGAACTCAGTGGATTCAAACAAAGGGTTCAATCCATGGTGATTATAAGCTTCAAGATTGGGTGGTTGTGGGAGCTTCAATGGCGGTGAAGCAAGAGGAGACAGAAAAGGTGTGTCGGGAGTATCAAGAACGTCGCTCAAACTTCTTGTTCTCGAACCCTTTTTGCTTCTTTCAGATTCCAAATCCTCTTTGGTTTCTTCATTGATTGTGAAAAGAAACCTAGGTGGCCCACCTAGGTTATGCAGCCTCATGAGCTCAAGATCCAAACTTTCATCTCCCAAACCCTTGGATACCAAATTTTGACCCGAACCCATATCCGAATCTCGTTTTTTGACATGGGTTTGCAAATCTTTATCTTGGGTTTTGGGGGATTTTGATGTTTCCCAACAACAGGAAATGTAAGAAGGGAGGGTAGTATTGGAAGAAGAAAAATGTAGGCTTTCAATATCTTCCCTATTCTTGGAGAGCCTTTTCTTCCACCATAGAAGATAGTAGAGCTCTGCAGAAAGAACAAAGAGGATACATCCAAAGAGGAAACACAAACCAATCTCTAGACCACTGAAAGATGACATATTTACCCCTTGAAGAAGAGAAATTCGCACCCAAACTCAAAAAAGGTTGAAGCTTTCTCAAGTTTGAGGAAGACCCATCAGTTGATGAGAATCTTTAAGCCAAAAAGGTTCAGAAGAGCCAAGAAAGATGAGTCTTTCAACCAGAGTTCACATGGTGGGAAAATGGTTGGAAACTACATAAAAAACAAAAGCCATCATAAAGACTTGTATACATATGTTGGTAGGGTTGCCTTCAACCACATAAACTTGCAATACCTTTTCAAAATTAAAATTTGGCCTACCGATTTTAAAGAACAAAAATGAGGAAAGATTTGAAGGGAAGAAGGCGATGGGGGGATTGTAGACTCACCAAAAATCATGTTTAGGTGTGAATTTATAGTCGGTTTCCGCGTGTGTGTGTGTCTTTTTTTGGTGGGGGCGGAGGGGGAGGGGATACCTCAAATGAGTTGTCAATGGAATTTGTGAAAGAAATTTGGAAGATAACATCATATGAAACTCCTTTATTAACATGTTAAATTTTACGGTCTAAAATTATAAGGGTAGTGTTCGATTGGTTTGAACTTGACTTTAAATGTCAAAAGTATCAGGAGGTCTAAGGTTCAAATCCACTGAGGGATAAAAATCTCCTTGTGGCCATGGAGGTTCAAATGCGGTGACTCTGGCCTATCTGCTAAATAGATGGTTGTCTTGGGATTAGTCGGCTTGCATAACATGTTAGATATACAGGTTAATAAAAAAAAATAAGGTCTAATTTTATATTGTTTTTATACTATTTATTAGCGAATGTAAAAACTATAAGCTATCCTAAGTGCCACTTTTAATTTCTACCAAAAATAGAAGTATTAATTCGTCTCTATAATTTATATATATATATATATATATATATATATATATATATATATCTTTGTTAGTTTATTTTACAATGTAATTAAAAGTTTTAAGAATAACGGTATCTTAAATTTTTTTTGGAACGTCCCTATATCTATACTATATTATAGAGCATTTGACAAAAACTTTTAAAAATCATTTTTTATGCATGAAGTACTGTATATTGATGCATGTTATTTAAAATTCAAGATTGCAAGTAAATTATACATAAGTACAACTTATTAAAGTTCCAAGTTTGAATTCATATAACTAACTACGGATAAACATAATCAAATAGAGGATTAACATCTCATTTTCAAATATAAAAAATCTAAAATATAATTAGAATATTTGTCTGAGTTTTAACAAAGTAATTAATTATTATCTTTATAAGAAAATTATATTATTAAACCAAATATAAATTACTTCGTTATTGAACTTAAATTAAATTATAATAAAAAAATCGAATTAAAAAATTACATAAAAAATAGGAATTTTAAATAGTTAATTTGATATCAATATCAATATATTTTTGTCAAATTTTTATGATATATTTAAATTTATATTTTATTCAAAAATAAAAATATTATTGTTTTTTCAAAATCACATAAGACAATACTATAACATTATACGAGTACCCTTCTAATTATATAAAAGTATTTGTTTAAACATATGAGATTAAATAAAACATAAAACCAAATAAATTAATTTAAATTTCAGATATTTCATTTTTCTAGAAATTATACTAAAAACGATTTTTTTTAACACTAATGAATTAAAATCTTACTACATTTATATTTTATGGGTTTTTGTTTTTTTTTTTTCTTATAATTGCAAGTGGGAGTGTATTTTCCTAAATAAAAAATGTTAAAAAAATTAATTTAAAATCATATTATTTTTTAGAATATGTAAAACTTGTTATAATCATACGAGTTAAATAAAATTTAGATTTTTCAATCAACAAACATTTTATAACATTTTTAATCAAAATTCCGAGTCTTACTCATGAATCAGTTCTTCAATTTTAGAGATCGAGATCGTAAATATAACACGTTTGAGTGTTTATATGGTTTTTATAAGGGATTTAGAGTACATAACGACATCTTGTTTTTATTTCCATTTGTGATTTTCTCTTTCTAAATTACTTGAATCTAATGTGGTTCTTTTTTGGGGTTTTTTCTCTTAACCTTTTATATCAAGATATTAAAAGAAAATAAATGGAAATAAAAGTCAATTTTATATAAATGAGAAAATATTCATTTTGTGATATTCAATTTCTTAAAATTTATGTAATATATGTTGTTATAGAGTAAAATACCTTTTAATAATGTATAGTAATAAAATTATCTTCAATAGTTATGTTATTATTATTTTTATATAAAATAGAGTATTAAAAGTTAAATTTTTTACAAAAACTATATTTAATTCCAACAGCTAGGGGTGTTCAATAACCCAACTAATCCGATCAACTCAACCTAACCCAAAGCGAAATAACTCAATCTGAAGCAACTCAATGTCTAATTGAGTTGTAAGATTTTCAAACTGTATGTATTGGATTGATATTGAGTTACTATTATTTGAATTCAACCAGATCCGATAAACCCGATAAACTTTTATTTATTGGATTTAATATAATTGTTGAATTTCTATTAATATATACATTAGACAATCACATTATCACGTACACTCTTCATATACACATATTTTCAATCTATGCACATCTTTATATAATTCATTTGTATATATATTCCGTAACTGTTTAGCTACAAAATACAAGCAATGAACAAAAATCTAAATTTAAGTACGAGGATTAAATAAATAAAATTGATAAATTGTATACAAAATATAATTTACTTTTATAACAATTCGTTTTAATCCGCTTATTTATTTTTCTTTTACCAATAATTCATATATAAATATATAAATTATTGTTTTCTAACGATGAATGAACATAAATAAATTACTATTACGTTATCAGTATTTTTATATTTTTTATTTAAACTTTCATAATACAATTTGTTATCGTATGGAATGTTTGTTAGACTCTACTGATAATCGGAATATTATTAAACCAATAAAATTTTGTTAAAATTGATACGTTTACGTCACCTTTTTATTACGTTTTTTTGGTTACAAACGACATTTTAATTAAATACTGAAATCAAGGCGTTTAAAAAATAAATAAAGAGGGAATAACATTCGATGCACCTGCAGAGTGCGTTGGGGACGTGGCAAGCCGCGGTTACGATGCTGGCAACTGACGCTGAAAAGAAAGTGCAGATGCCATTCTTTTGGTTTTATATTATTTTGTTTAATCTTACACAAATTCATTTACAATAATCATCAATTAAAGCTAATTCTTTTTTTTTAAATACTGATATAAAAAGAAAAAAAATCCAGTAAAACCCAATGAACTTTAGTGTTTGAAATAATTAAGTTATTGGAGAACTAACAAATAAATCATTGACTTTTCAAAACTTGTTAAATAAATCATTAAATTTTCTTAAACTTGTTAGATAGATTCTCATTCTTTGAAAATGTAATTTGAATAGGAAGTAAACCTACAAATTTAAAAGAAAAAAAACCTAAAAACCATCCTAAACATTGTCGCTCTCCCCTCTCCCTCGCTCAACTCCGTCGCCCTACACCATTCCTCACTGCACCACCTCTAGTCGTTGTCGCACCACCGTCTGCCGTCGATGCACCACCAGCCGCCGTTGCACCACCATCGTTTGTCCGTCGCCGCTACAACACCCAGTTCCATCAATTTTTGATTTCTCAGGTTCGTCGCGTCACCACCGTCTGTCGCCCTTTCTTTGTTGAAATGGACCAAGCTATCATTTTCATCCATTTTTCCTGCCAACTCACAATAAGATATGTCCTACACCTATTTCACTAGGATTTATTCATATAATAGATTTTCATTTAGATCAACCCAACATAACTTTATAAGCAGGTTTCATTCTTTAACCCTGACTTTTGGCATATCTTTTTCAATGGATGTGAAATTAATGGCAAATACGGGCATTGTCTGTTTCACAACTAGAATACTCTAAGGCCATTGGTAGCTTGATGTATGCCATGACGAGCACCAGGCCTGACATAGCATATGTTGTGGGACGGTTGAGTAGGTACACTAGCAGTTCTAGTACTCAACATTGGCAAGCGGTTCAAAGAGTATTTAAATACCTTAAAAGAACCATGAATTATGGTTTGAGTTACTTGGAATACCCTTCAGTTTTAGAGGGTTATTCGGATGCAAGTTGCAACATAGAGGACCACTTCTCAACAAGTGGTTTGGTAATTTTGCTTGCGGGAGGTGCCATCTCTTGGGAATCCAAGAAGCAAACTTGTGTCACGAACTCAACAATGGAATATGAGTTTATGGCATTAGTTGTTGCTGATAAAGAGACAAAATGGCAAAGAATTTGATTTATGAGATTCCATTGTGGTCAAAGCCGATTGCACATGTTTCTATCCATTGCGATAGTGTATCCACGTTATCCAAAGCTTATAGCAGTTTATAATAGGGGTGAGCATAGGCGGGTACCCGCCCTTTTTGACAGGAACCGGAACCGGAACCGGTTAGAGCGGTTCTTAAATTTTTGGAACCGGAACCGGAACCGCCGGGAACCGGTTACGGTTCCGGGTACCCGCTTCCTAAAATATTAAAATTTTGTTATTTRGAAATAAAAAATAAAACGTTGCCAAAACACTAAATAAATAAGCAAGAATATAAATTATATATAATAATGGTTACAAATATTGTTTAACGATTACAAACCATAATAGACTAATAGAAAATGTTCAAAGTTTAACGATTACATACTATAATGGTATTTCAAAGTTTAACGATTACATACTATGAATCCAAGTGAACACACAATTTTAAAAAATACGMATCATTCTATATGAAGAATTTAGATGAAGAATGAAGATGACGGCGTGCTTTCAAGATGTAAACCTAATATAAATTTGGTATTAAAAAATAATTATTATTTTTTTATATAAAAATACCGGGTACCCGGCGGGTAACGGTTCCAAAAAATTGAGAACCGGAACCATTCTCAATCGGTTCCGTATTTTAGGAACCGGAACCACTCATATCGGTTCCGGTTCCATAGCCGGATACCCGGTTCCGCTGCTCACCCCTAGTTTATAATGTCAAGTCTAGACACCTGAGTGTTAGACACAACATGATTAGATAATTGATCATGAATGGGGGTAATTTCTATTGAGTTTGTTAGAATGCAACAAAATTTAGCAGATCATTTAACTAAAGGTTTGACTATAGACTTAGTGCACAAGTATGCTACTGGGATGGGATTAAAGTCCTTATAAATTTATAATGGTGAGACACCTAATTCCCTTCTAATATGATATTGGAAGTTGAACTCAATGTGGAAAGCTCACACTTATAAATTGGAACACAAGATTGATTCATCCCGGGTTTGTGTTCGATATTGTAGTAGGAAGATTGAAGCT